CTCTCTCTCTCTCTCTCTCTCTCTCTCTCTCTCTCTCTCTCTCTCTCTCTCTCTCTGTCTCTCTCTCCCTCTCTCTCTCTGTCTCTCTCTCCCTCTCTCTCTCCCTCTCTCTCTCTCTCGCTCTCTCCCTATCTCTCCGCACCCCCTCCTGAAACCAAGCTTAATACTTGCTACCCTCGCTGAGACTACTCCTGTCATTCGACGTGGGGACACCCATTACTACTCCGTCATCCTCTCGATGTCTCATCCCTTTGATTGTTGGTGTGCGTGTCCTCAAGTTCATCTCAGCGGTCATAACTTTGGCTTGCTCGACGTGGAGACATATTCCACACGATCTCTGCCGGGTTGCCTCTTGAGTAGATTTTCTGCCCGTCGTGTGCTCCTCATCTGCCACTGCTGTTCTATACGTTTCCACCTATCCTCCTGCGTATCGCGTCTCGGGTGCCGTTTGTCCGTAGCGGACGACTCCCGTTTTTTTGTGATGAACGTTACCAGACATGAACGTTACAAGAACTAGAATTCTCCCCGAGAAGAAGTCTGCGCGCGGGAACGTTCTTCGGGGAAGGAACACGAAAATGAACGGAATTTGGCAACGGCCGAGCAAGCGCCTCGAAGTCCCCGGACTCAATAACTACAGGCCTGCTGCGAAAATTCTTATCGGGTTATTGCCACCACGTTACGGACACCAGCTGTGCAACCAACCAACCCAGCAGACGCGTTGCCTCCCACTGTGAGCGAGGCGTGCCTGGGGCGGGGATGACTGCGAGCCCACGCGGTTCCCCTAGGTTGAACATCGCAAACCCCCTTCATCAATCATGTTCCGCACAGGAGTCTTTCCAGTCGAGAAGAAGAAATCCGACGCGTGCTGCCATTGGTCGGCAGGCTGCGGGCGGGGGGTTCTGCCGCGACCGTTGCGGGAGGAGCAACGTCGGCAGCGGAGCTTGCGGACACTCCACCTGGCGGAGGCATCTCCGCGAGCGGGGGGGCAAGCGCGGGGGATGGCGCCGGCGTGGCGCTCGGACGGAAGCCCGAGACGAAACCGAAAGGGGTGAGGGACCGTTCCCTCCTTGAGGATCGACCTTCTGGTTGTCCGTGCCCGTGGCACCGTTTTCTTCGCATCTGTGTTTTGTTTTTCGAAACCCCAGGGTTTCTGTACATCAGGCTGCCCGGATGGGTAAGCCCAAGTTTGGTAAGTTGGCATTGGTACAGACCATGTTCCTTCTTGTCTTGCTCTATTTACTTGTCGCGGTGCCGCCACCGGTAGGGTTCCCACCCATCTCTGTCAGCACAACTTTGCCCTTGTCTTGAATGGGTGGTTCTTTGAGAATGTCACGCGCCTTTCCCGTGGAAACGTGTTAGCGGGAGCACCTCCATAGGCGACCTTCACCGTTCCAATTTTTCTGCCCAGGTTGGGGCCCGCACCGTCCACAAGATATGCTGGCGGGCGATGGGCGACGATGAGGTCAAAGTGGCCAGGCCCCAACCCAAGTCATCACAGCCGACCGTTACACCCACGCCCTCCCCGCACACGCTAACGCTCCGTCTCTCTCTCTCTTTCTCACGCGCGCGCTCTCGTGTGTCGTGGTTGGTAGGACTTGGGGGTCAGGACGAGGAGCACTCTCATCCTGGTTGGGTCGTTCCTGACCATCATCGTCAAGCTCAAGCAGACGGGATGCGCCATCCTCGTGGCTTTCCTGCAGTGGGCGATATTTCGGGTGTGAAGTACAGAGCGACGTTATGGATAGCCGTGAACAGAGGACACGGTACACCCACCCCCCGTTGGCAAGCAAGAATTTTCCTTTTTTGTCTTTTGTGCAAGAGGGGTCTGGTGCCCTCATCGTGCGCCCTTTTTGTCGAGGTAAGAAGGGGCACATCGCTTTATTTTCTCATCGGCCCCCGTGCGTTTTATACGTAAGTCTTCGAGCCAGTGATTATTTTCCACTAGTGCGGGATGCAATAACCGCGGCTTCACCTTCCAAGTTCGATTTGCGCCCCCGTTCTGTTCCAAAGTACGTTTTTCCACACTATCACCCCCTGCCTGGTTTTTGGCGGTAGGTTTGACTTTCAGATGAGTGGTAGGCCGGCAGCATCGGAAACTTCCACCCACCCTGTGTGGATGCTTGTCTTCGAGAAGCGGGGACGCATGCGTCGTGCACTCGCCCCCCCCCGTGAGAACTCTTGACAACGACCAGCACAGCGGATGTAAACCACATTCGTAACTCCGGGACCACCACCTGAAACACACGGCGAGCAGGAGGGCATGGCCATCGTGCGCGACGGGGTCTCCGGGGTGCTCCTGGAGACAGAGAAGGGAGGGGCCAAGTCTCTACGGCGCCAGCAGTGGGGAGTGCTGTGGGTGCTCGGTTTCGCGGTGTACGGCAGGATGCTGGTGAAGGAGATCGCGGGCGTGGCGGTGAGGGGGTGAAAAACCAAGCAGGCGGGCACGTCTCCCCTCCCCCCGCTTGTGTGGATTCTGGATTCACCCGTACATGTCCCTTCACCCTGTTCCCGCTTGTGTGGATTCTGGATTCGTCCGTCCTTGTCTCTCCATTCTCGTCCCGCTTGTGTGGGTTCTGGGTTCATCATTTTTTCAGCGGAAGACGAGCCCTTCCACGGTCTGCGGTTGCCGAGAGAGACAGGACGATATTGGTGGTGTTCTCCCACTCCTTCCCCGTGCGCGTAACCCGCCCTCATTCCTTCCGTGTAAAACTCCCTCGGTATTGGTGTAAACAGGAGCCGTCCACGTGGATGGTGGCCTTCTGCCGGTGGCACGTCCCCGGGTGCGCCGCCCTGTACGTCGGCCTCCTTCTATGGTTCATCAACACTTTGCGGAGCCCCCTGCTTATCATGTACGGCACGATGCGTCGTGAGTAGTCCCAAGCTATTCTGCCGCGTTTCTCATGAATGCGCACCCGTGCGAAGTCCCCCCCGTCGTGTAAGTGAGTAGTTCCAGAAGCTAGTATGTCGCTTTTTATGTGAATACGGACCGGGTCGATCGCCGCACTTGCTAGTTTCTGCTACTTTTTTTGTCTCGCACCGTCGGGCCTCCCAGGTGTTGGTCCGTGGCGACCACCCACTGGTGTAAAGGGGTCGAGCTCTTCGGTTTTGAAACGCATGGCGATGCAGGTTGAACCACACCAGGTGCCGTGAGAGCCGATTCTGTGCTCTCGCCTTTTCCCTCCGTCAACGGAAACCTCGTGTACTGGTCGTCCACCTTAAAGAATCGAACAGACAGCGATTTTTTTGTCAAAAGTTGTGATGTTGCTCACCTCGTCATCTCAGGTCGCTCACCCGTCCTCGATTTCAAAGACAAAAGGGATGTGTTGTCGATGCCTTGTGCAGCTGCATTGCATTATGCTGTATTCTCTGTGGCTGTTTGTAGCTTGCGACTTGCCTCGGCATCGTCGGCATCGTCGGCATCGTCGGCATCGAAGGACACACACCTGACGCACGCGTAGTACTGCAGACCATAGCTGTGATACAATTTGCTGGTCTGATTCCTCCAGGGGCGATTAGTGTCCAAGGCCCTGCGTTAGATGTGTTCACGCATGTACTCTCCTTAAGAGTACATTGCTGTTGGCTGGAACTAGACAGTTAAGGTGGTACGTGAACAATTCTTACCACAAATGTGTCTCCTTGATGTCTTGATTCTGTCGGCTGGAGCAAAGCGGCCTGGGTCTTCCGTTAGGCACGCAGCATTCTCTTCCTGACGTCCTCAAAGTGTTCCACCGAGTAATAAGCGCCTCGTATCGGATCGGACAACGCGCCGGGTGGAACGATGCAGGTACCAGCTGGGACAGCTGTCTGCGGCGCACTTCGCCTCCTTCCTCGTCCTTCCTTCCGCCCTCGTGTCCTTCGCGGCGAGGGGCGGTCTCTTCTGGTAAGGGCAAGAGATATCCCAAGTGGGATGTGCCTGAGTGAACCGTATTCCACCACCGCCCAACTCCATTCTCACCTGCAGACATCCCCGCCCGGTTTCTGGTGCGAAGATAAGATCACGGACAAGGATGAAGGACAGAACCTCTTGTTGTTGAACCCCGCGGTCCCCGTCAAAGTACGGCAGCGGTTTGTTCATTTACCTGCGTTCACAAACTACGTGGTGTCGTATTCCTCCAAGATGCGCCGCAGTCCGTCGGTCCTTTATTGGTGCATCGGGTTCACGCCGCAACACGCGGATCCTACTTGTTGAAGCCGAAACAAACAAATAATGATTTTCCTTTGTTACGTTGGCGCTGCGGCTAGGGGCCTTCCCAGCTCCTACTCATGCAAATGAAACAAAAACTATTTGAACACCCTCTCGGCCCGCTTTTCCGCTGTGCCACATGCGTGGTCAACTGCAGGTTCGTCATTGCCTCCGCATCGGTAATCATCAACGACATCACGGCCTACATCTGCGGGAGATTGTTCGGGCGAACACCTCTTACGGTCTTGTCCCCCAAGAAGACGCGGTACGCAGCGCGAAGGAGGAACGGGTTTACCTTTTGTCGCTCGTTTCGTGACGCGTGCTGTGTTCGTTGCTCTTGGATGCCGCTGCGTGTGTTTTTTTTTCTTTGTTTTGGACGGGAACCATCTCTGGTCCATGGCGTCTGTAGCCCGATCGCGGTGTGTGAACGGGTTGGCTTCTCGCTTGTTGAGTGGACGGTGGTGATGTTGGTGGTGATTTCGCTGCTGCCGTTGCTGCTGCTTTACTGCGTGGCCGGGTCAAGGGGATGCCTGCACGCGTGTACCCACGGAGATAGTTATGCAACCCTCCGCATCAACGTGTTTCAGAGGGCGGCAGGGTGTTTGGTTGGAGACATGAGTCCATGCGACTTTCCCGCCGCCCACGCACAATAGCATATCCCCTCTGTCAACCTGCCACCTTGTAGCCTCCTCGCGTTCATGTCTGGTGGTGTTGGCCCTACAGGGAGGGTTTTGTGGGTGCTGCCCTCTGCACGAGCTTGACCGGGTGGCTGACGGGGCGCTGGCTCTGCGGTGTTGATTGGCTCACCGCTTCGAGAAATGTTATCCTTGCCGGCCAAGGGGGACCGGTGGACGCGGTGGGTGATGACGTTACCTGCTCTTTGTTGTTACCGTTAGGTATTCTTTGTTTCATTTTTTCTCGGGTTGCTTGTGTTCGTACGATTGTCCGCACAGATATTGCCTGCTTTATTGGGGTTACAAAACAATGCGTTTGTACCAACAAGTGGTGTGAAGTTCCATTGTTATTACCGCACGTGAACATCATTCCCGCGTCAATTGGTCTTCAACAAGTCTATTCCTGGAGTGCACAAGAATATGTGAGGTATTTGTGCATGTATGCCCCCAGAACAGGTGGGACGACAAATATTTACAATTTTGTTTTAATTCTTGAGGTTCTCAACTGTTTTTCCCCGCTTGTTTATTCGTTCCGATGCAACACCGTTTGTTTTGTCTTGTTGTTCGCCAGGGCGATATTTTCTTGAAGACAGCGCAGCTGCCCTGGGTAAACATCATGGTGTCCAAAGCTGAGATACACGCCTTCTGGTAAGCGATGCCTCTTGAAGAGTTATTCCCTCAGATGTTGCAGGTGCTAGCTGGCGCCGGCGGGGTTTGTGCGACTGCGACAGCCTTATGCCCTATGCCGGGGTAATGAGCACGTGGGGACGTCCAAATCGGCACGCGTGCATGCCGGAAAACCGCTGGCGGCAAAGGGGTTTTCCGGACGACGAAGAAGCAGAAAACTGCTTCCTCTTGGCGTGTAGGTCTCTACCTTCGTGTTGGGAGGCAAGCCGCATGACTGGGTGTGTGCCGGGCCGACGACGTCGTCGACGCGATGATTTGTCCCATAAAGGGGCTTCGACAGCAGCCTCTCCTTGCTTGTCTTTTTCCACATTCAGAGATGTCCGTGTCGAAAAACGTTTTCCTTGCCTTACCGGTACTTTGATGAGCGAGTGTCGATTCCAGACTTGATCATTTCGTTCTTGGCCTTTTCGCGCCAGGATCGCGCTCATGGCATCCCTCATCGGGCCATTCGGGGGATTTTTTGCGAGCGGCCTCAAGAGGGCCTACGGCGTAAAGGACTTCGGCGACACGTAAGTTTTTTGCCGCGCCTTTCCTTCTCAGACTAGGAAGAAAGAGCCGAAACAGATCAACAGTCGGAAGCAAACACACCACGTCGCGTGCAGTGCTGGCACCCTCGAATAGTGCACGGCTGAAATGTTCACATGGTGATATTCTCTGAATAGCGCCAGGTGTCCGGTGTAGTGCCTGTGAATCTGGCGGGCACATTCCGGGCACTATTGAGGGAACCCCATCTTGTACAGTTCAGGAATTGTTGCGCCGCCCGTTCTTCGCGCTGGAATCCTGTTGGAATCCGCCGACCCCCTTCCGTGGTCGGTCGTCGCTGTAGAGCGGCAGGATATGCTCTTCTGGCATTTCGGCGCGAGGGGCCCCACGATATATGCAATATTGCACGGACACATGTCGTTCGTGCACCGGCGAAGCGGTGTGATGCATGTGCGTAAAGGTGAAACATCACTTATCCTTGGACAGCGAGAACCGGCAGCCCCAACAAGGCAGTCCCACTCCACGGCGAGGTTTTGCGGTTTGTCGGAACCGCCCCCTCGTCACTTTGGGATGCTTCCGATTGAAAATCCCGTATGTGCCGTTCAAACCACCAGCGAGCTTGGAAGTAGAGGCATTCATGCGTGGCCAGCGTTTGACAACTTCTGCTGCGGGCTATAGGCGACTGGACACTCACGGTGACAAAATCGTGTAAACCAAATTACGAGGACACACCCTTTCGGACAAGTAGATGGCAATCGACACAGCAGGTACTCCAAGTACCGGGACTCGCATTGCTTTGTTCATAAACCCCGATGCCACCCGCAGGCGCCATGAAAACCACGACAACACGACGACAACATGCAAACCAGAAAACTGTACCCTCAGCTGTGCTCCCCCTCTAGACAAGTTTCAAGTCGAAGGTTTTTGCGTGGCTGGTTGTTTGCCAAAATGAAAAAAACGCACGAAAAGTATATTTCTGTCCTGTCGAACAACTCCGTTTGCGATTGCGCTTTGTTTTTTCTCGACCAATCAGGATCCCCGGGCATGGCGGGGCAGGGGACCGGTTCGACTGCCAGGTCATGCTCCTGCCGCTCGTTTTCTTTTATCTCAAGGCCTTTGCTCCTGACTTGGATATCTAGACCTGTTGTTGTGCTGTCGAGATGTGGTTCACGTTGGAGGCGTCGCCCGAAACAGCCTGCCACAACTTTCCGTGAGGAGTGTAACCTGACGGTCTAAAGCAAACGGCGTCGCGTCAAGCGCGCGGCCTAGCTTAGTCTTTTTTGTTGGCCAAGTTTGCCACTTGGACGGCTGGCCTTAAGCTTGTGTTAGCCTCACATGGTGTTTTGTCCGGGGCGTGTTGGGCTGCCGAGTACTTCATGCAGTACTCGTGTGCGGCCTGGGGATCGGTTTAGCGACAGGGTTTTGCCCCCGTGATGATGCCTGGCGTTTGTGCCTAGACTTTATCCCCAACGAAACCGCCCTTTGTACGGGTCGGCGAGGGAACCGGGGGTCCTTACCGTGGGTCTGAAACGCTACATCAACGGGGCGCATCAGAGACTTCCACGGTCATATTATACGTAAAGAATTCGCGGTAGATAGGGGGGGGAAGTAGTGGTGCGTACGCACACAAGCGAGTTTCCGTTGCTGTACGCTCGTGGGGATCAGTCGTGAAGATCGTTCTGTACATAAACTTCGTGGAGAGAGCAGGCAGGGGCTACGGCTGGCCCTTCACCTTTGTCTCCGTCGGTCATTCTACGGCTAGTTCGTCCACAGTAAGTGAACCAGCCAGGACCAGTGGTCATTCTCGATGTAATGTCGCAGACAGAGCCAAGCGTTAGGGGAGGGCGTATTGGTATGTGGATGACAAGTATACATGTGACCGGAGCGAAGCGTGGCATATTCTTCCTTGGGTTATTGGTGGAAAAGGCGTTTCTTATGGTTGTGTTGTGCAACTTTCCAGGCTGAAGGATGTCATTCGAATGGCGACCGTGGCTTTGGAGGCTCGTTTCTGTGTAGTATTCTTGCCAACATCGATGTCAGGTTTTGCACCTGAAAACAAGGAGGGGCAGCGACAGGAATGGGATCATTACCACGAGTGACAAGGGTACAGCGTAGTGTACGACAAGTAGGCAAGGGCGACCGGAAGCATGAGCACCACTTACCACGCCTTGAAACGAACCCGCACTTGATCAAAAGTGATTTGCATCGGAGTGGCGACCGTACAATATCTCAGATTACTAGACTATATCGAGAGGCATCATCAAGTGGACTACGATCCACGTTCTTCTCACTTTGTCTCCGTCGAAATAAAGTTCGTTGCGAAGCCAGTGCCGTGGCAATGTCAAAGTATGTCTTTCTTGCGGCATCGTCCGCCGTGATGAATGGGTGCTCCCGGCGTTCGAGCTCCACCACGCGCAGGTCGGCCATCCACATCGCAGCTGCATCCGACGGCATGATGGTGGTGCTGGAGGACAATCCATGGCGATGACGGACGGTCGATGGTGCGGTAGATGATGATATGTGGCGAGTCGGGACAGAGCGGGAGGGCAGAAAAGGCCCACCGGTCAACAACCTCAGATTCCTTTACCCGATGTTTTTCGACAAGAATAGGAGAAGTGACGTTCATTTCTCCGAAATTCATTGAGCGAGTAAGCTTGATATTCATATACTGTGATATTAATCAACGCGACGAGTATCGTCGGCGTTGTCTGCCTGATGCGGATTTGTGTTATTCTGGTTTATTTAGCTGCTGGCTGAGTTTCCTGCTTTGTTGGCAGATCACAAGCCGACGGTGGATGGAAACAATTACGGAACAACAGCTGCTCGGTGAACAACCTTAGAAAAGTAAGCTGGCCACCGCAACACTACCCATTGGTAGTCTAGCGCGGATTGTTTGTGGAAGAGAAAGGGTGTGGCGCTACCTATAGAGAAATTCGACGGTCACCGTTCGCTGTTGTGGAAAAAGTATATACGGCCATCCGGTCGCTGAGCAGAGTGCCAGTCAGCAATCCTACCTTCAAACCTTGACCATAGGCCAAAATTTCGATGAAAAAACAAAAACTGAACAGATGAACGGTACAGAAATTATCGAACAAAGAATATCTACTGTTGATGGTGATGATAACATTGATTGATATTTCTGAATATTAATGAACAATATCGTCGCAACCAATGAATCCATCTGGATTCCTGAATGAGATTGCATTTTCAAAAAATGTTCAAGATGACAAAAACATGAGCGATAGAGACAGCAAGAGGGCGAACCGGTAAAGAGGAGAGAAATAGCGCACACGGTTGTAGTACGTTGTCGCACACTTCTAACGTATGGTGACGCATTGGCGTCCGTATGCGTATTCGTTGTGCCATGACCTACTGGCTCTACCGTAGATCACGTTGGTAACTCACTCGGCCCGCACACATTTTCATTACTTAGCCACCTGTGAAATGAATATGATGCCGTTGGTTGGTGCCACGCCGACCCTGAGATTCGATTTTTTCCGACATTGTTCGAGAAGATCAAGACAAAAGATAGAAAGCAAACCGGTCGAGATGACTGAAACAGCGCGCATGGCCGCACACTTCTGGCGCAACAGGTCGCGATATGTGCGCCATAGGTCGAGATCGACCTTGGGGACACGGTTGTTCCAGTTGGCTCCAAACTCTCAAACAAACCGATGAGACCAAAGAACTGTTCGTAAACAACGACGACCAACACTTGCTACAACACAACGAAGCGTCCCGTAAAAAAGAACACCTCCCACGGGACCACCTCCTGGTGTAGATGGATCCGGCCGCTCGCACCAGAGTAACAAAACCGTGGCTGCCGGCACTATGTATTAGCTGATCGCTGAAACAACCTCCCCCGGGTCTGAGCACAATGTACATCTACCACCGCTGGCGCACTCACCGTACTACATACTACAGGATATGCGTTGATCTAGCCGTGATTGTAACCGTTATTTTCTACGCCGCGATGCATGGAGGCATTCATCAATCGAGCATAACGAACGACCGTCCAAGCTATTTTTCACACGGTTTTCGAAGTTGTAGGCTTCCGTGTGAGCCGTCTATGGTTGCCAGATTGTGGACTGCGTCGCGGCTCAGACATGGCCAAAATCCTTGCAAGGACTCCTGTGCCGCATGTCCACTGTAATCAACCTTCCATGAAAGCCTTGCAGTCCGTGGCAATCTCGTCTCTCGTCTTCCCGCAGACCAACTTGGCAGTGTTTGCTGAAAAAATCCCGATTCAGATGGAGAGAGGATTAGACTATTGAAGGTGCCAGTAGAACCGGTTAAGGGAAAGTCTAAACTACTTGACGCGGTATGAGAAACATGGCACCATAGTCGAAGCCCGTGTAACAACATGTACCGATCGCTATCGCCCCACTCTGCTGTGTACCTTGTACCCCCCCGCCTTCTCGACTTACTTGCATTAGCGTCCCGCGTAGACGCGTTCGTATGAGCACCGCGAGCAGACCTTGAGCGGCTTCTCTTTGGTCTCCGAGACAAGGCAAAAGTCACACGAACGCCCGCGCATGGTCGATTTCAAGTGAGCCGCAGCATCTGGATCAGCCCAAACGTTGATGGGTCCAGCGCTCGAAGCCAAGCGAATCTTCATGGCTCCGTCTTCTTTGCGGTGATTCGTTGACAGCATCTCTGCTGTGGAACCCTCCCCAGGGGGGTTGATCACGAAACCCAGCACGTTGTAGAAAAATTGCTTGTCTGTGACGGCGGTCAGTCCACGGCGCGTCCCCGGTTCGACATCTGCACCGTCGCCATCCACGATCACGTCTGTCGGTCCATCCTGTTTGCTGCCACTGCCACCCCCTTCCACCGGGGTAGGAACTCCGTCCACGATCAAGTTTGCCAGTTGTGTCACCTGCATCCAGCGCCCTTCCTCCTTCATGCCCATAGTCCACTCACGTAGGAACCAGTCCTCCACCGCGCCACTCTTGGTCAGGTCGTTTCCGTGGTAGTCCCTGCGGGTCACAATTGACTTGATCGTGGCGCTGACGCATGAATCCCACCCCCCGTTCCGGAATGACATGACGCATCTATAGACTACGTTGTCCGCCAGGGTTTCGCTGTCGTTAGCGGGGCTTGGCTGCAATGCGACGGCGCTGTCGTCCTCAATGGTGAGGTGGGCGGCGAGCTCTTGGGAATCCGTGGCGTTCTTGTCGATTCCTACAAGGCGCACTAGACGCTTGGGACCGAGAGTCGTGGCGACAGTGCTTTCGAAACGCCCGCGGGGGACGACACACCATGTTCCCTTGTTGAGTGTGTCGGCCTCGGAACAAAGCGATGGGCATGCATCATACGAGAACGCGGTGATGGTGCAGAGTTTCCCACCAACCACGGAATCACCCCGGCTCTGGATAATAGAAAACAGGATGGCACTGCTTTCGTTGACGTGCACCTCACAGCCATCGTCTTCCGCGTAGTCCTCATCCCTCCTCTGCATGAAACAAACGGGGGGGGCTGGGTCATGGAGTGAAAGAGAGCGGGTCCAAGTGCAACCAAGTTGGCTGTGAGAGTTGAAAACGAGAGGACAACGGTGAAATACATCCTACTATATGAGAAAAGCAGCAAAGCTTGACGGTTGCCCGAGATATACTACTCACCTCCACCCGAAGCACCCTTCCCCCAAAGCACGGCGCTTCCATGAGCTTTCTGGCAATAGTGAGTGGCTCCTGGATGTCGCCACGAACGCCGAGGCTCGCCCTGCGTCCGCGCACGGCAGCACTCAAAGTAGTTCAGATTCAAAGGGCATGGACCGTGCACATAACCATCCCAACCCGCGGAATTTTGGTATTCCCCGGGCCACCAGCGGCTGAAATTCATAACAGATGCCCACCTATTCTCCATGATTGGCGGGGCTCCAATAGCCATGTAAAAGATGTTCCTGTCGCTCGTGGTAAGGTCGTCGCGGAAAAGGTCGTGTGCAGAATGAATGAATGAATGAATGAATGAATGAATAGTGGAGAAAACAAGCCACGAGCAAATATTTCAAACTTTAGACTAGGTGTCGACGGGTTTCAAAAATTAGCTCGCCACCCTCTCTCTGCGCGGCATGCGCCCCCCGGGTCAGAGCCATTCCTCGCAACTTGATCATCAACCATGATCGTCAACCACACGCATGACGGAAGCCTGGGCACGAGCGTCAATGAAACCGACGAGCTTCTTGCGCACCCCATTTGATAAGGCTGACCATTTGACTACATGCACAGTCATCGATGACTGCGTAGTCTAATGGGGTAAGCCTTTCTCTAACAAAAGATACACTCTCGGCTCGTGGCCACCCGGCTGGTCACTGGGATTTTAGAAGTAGCAATCTCAGGGGACGGACCCCTCGCCAAACGCTGCCTGAGAAGAACTTAATGGTGCTTGGGAAAGTGAGCAGCCGATTTTCGAACCCGTGCGTGCAGCCTTCAGCGCCAAGTGTTAAGCCATTAGTCATGTCAGCCGTTATCGCCACAACCAACACTCGCACCGATGGAAACCAGGGCAATCATGAAGGTCATCGGCGCCGACTATTAGAGGGCCGGGCCTGGTGTGCAGCCGTGGACAGCGCCGTGTTCCATGATCTCTATGAGTGCTTACATTGCCGCGTTGGTGCATTCCCAGTTCTCTGCTGGCAAGTTTTCCGATTCCGCGTGGTCCGTCCGCCTTGCACACGAGGTATTGAACGCTTTTTTCAGGAACGAACTTCGGAAACATCGCACGGGTACTTGTACGAGAGCAGAGCCACCGCCGAGGAATTATGCATATTCTTCAGATCTACAGGATGTACCGGACGCGCGGCCGCCATATCGTGACCCCAATATCACTTCTGGAGTAGTCTAGAAGTATCAAGTATTTTGCGCAACAATTTCGTGAGCGTTTCGGCTTGCTCTCCTTCTCTAAGTCCAGCAGCCATCGCACGGATTCCGGCCGCCCGCCAATAGCCTAGAGTCGTCAGCGCTGACAAGTCTGCTGGTGTAACTTTATCTTACACCCTTGTAGATATTGGATCAGCTACTGCGGTAAGTCCGACCGACTCACGCCCGGTCGTCCCGGTTGTCTAGTGGGTAGCCTCGCAGCCGGCTAAGGGCCAAGGTCAAGGGTTCGAGTCCTGACAGAGTGAGTTTTTTCTCGCTAATTTAATCCTGGTCTCCGTTGGAAGCGACGCGCTGCAAAGCTTGTTGTTGGTAAACTTGACCGACTTCATAGGTCGCGAGGGAAGGGATTGCTGTACCCTTTTCGCGATAAAAACATCTCAGGCAGGAACCGCAGGAAGGGGTTAAACGCCCCCCTCCTATGTGACCCCGGTTGGGTCGTCTAGCTGGTAGAAGTGGAGGATAGGGGCCAGAGGGGCAGACGACAGAGTCCAATGATGGGGAAAAAAAAAAAAACTGTGGTCTCTGTCCTTGTGCCCTCCTTCCTCATCAGGATCAGCAACCCTCGCCGTCTCTTGTGCAGCGAGCTCCCTACAATGGTGCACAGGTTCCAGGTGGCCTCTGCTGCAATTAAACCATTTCATCGTTGGTGGTATGGTCATTGCCATCTCCGTGGCGGATAGCAGGAGTAGTTGTAGCAGTAGCAGCGGGGTGGCAGGGAGGCTGGTAGCGTTTCGACAGTGTGTCACTTGTGGCAGCCTGGTGTCTTTGAGATGCTCAAGATTCACTACTGCATAGTCTACATACCCCGGAACGAATTTCGTTTGGCAAGTCGTGTATTAAGCGGTTTTGAGTGGCAATCATATGTTGGTGCGTAAGATAGACAATTAATCCCCTGCCATGTGTTCTCGCACCTTTTTCGTGTTGACCCTGTTTTTCCCCCAGGTAGACTTGGCCTGAGTATGGCGGAAGCGGGGGTTGTCGTTCCTTATATCTGCTTCGACGTTTTCGGTGCCCGCTTCCCGAGTCGCGCATATCGCTCACCAAATTCATGTGAGGGTCGGTTTGTTTGTATTGTAGATCGAGAAGAAAACAGAAAAGCCAGTGTTTCAGCTCTCAGGTTCCCGAACACGTTCTCTCTGCTGTGAATATGTACTGTACCTCCCAGGTCGGGCTCGAGTGAAGATGAACTTGATATGTTTTGAGCAAGAGATGTTGTGTAGCAGGAAATTTTACGCAGACATGTGTGTGCAGGGCGGTGCTGCGAGGCGAAGACGAGCCGACGTGCTCGTGAATATGAAAGGCATTGCCCATTAACACGAGGTCATAACCTTCAATGAACTTGAAAACAATCTGGTCACGGGCCGAGAAGAGGAGCCCGACACGAGTCGCTGACGGCGGATTGCTGAGAGTGGGTTGTGAGGGTGAGAAGGACACCTGCATCGCCCGAACCGCGTCCGAACTTGAGCCGCCGCCATTCGGCGGTCCGCGGCCCGCGGACGAGCGGAGGGAGAACCACAGACGATAGAGGCGCGAGGGTGGGGAGCGACAAGCTGACGACATAGCTGACGACATACACGAAGGTTGGAGTGAAAAGCGGGGAGCTGGAAGATGGAGAGAGCAAGAATGGTGTGGGAATGACAAGGTGGGGGGAGCAGGGAGCCGTGCAACCAACTTGCGCGGCGGGATTGCCGCGCAAAGTGACGATCGATCATCGCTCACTCGTCGGGAAACTGCTCGCCAGAACTCGTGGTACCGGAGCATAAAGTCTGTGAATATTACGTCGTTTTCCCGATAAATGTGTGTATGATTCCGAGAACTGTGAGGGGTTTTCCGCTCTCCGTTTGTACACATGAAACGAAAGGAGCCTGATATTATAGGAGGCGTGCAAATGGCGGAATCCGATTTTTGGGCGTTTTTGACCTGGCGAGTACAGGGCCCAGTATTGATTGATTAGAGCTGGGGAAGGGAAAGCAAATATCTCATTGATGGGGTCATTGCTTTTGGAAAAATGTAATGCGTACGAACTGATCGTGCAATGAGTGACCAATGCTGCTTTGTAGCAGCCATTTGCTTGACTGTTGCTGGTGTGAGTCTTGTAGCACATAGCATAGCGCCTGGCAGGCTTTCGACATTCCTAAAAACGAGGTAGTGAATAATAGCAGTCGCTTGGATCGCCAGAGTCAAAACTGAGACACCTGCCAATGAAGAGCCCAAAAGTGCACAAAAGAGCCAAGTCTGCGACGCCGTGAAAGCTCAAGGTTCGAACAAGAGAAATGTTGCGGAGAGAATCGAAGGCGTGATTGCTTTTCGGCTATGAATCGACCCGTTCACTCCTTTTCCTTAAGATTGTGTCACGTAGCTCGATATCTGCGCCATCCGTGTAAACAAAGTCAGCGATAGATCCTTCATCGTATGCATGTTCATTCCTCTCCGGGATAGCCACCGCTACAACTACATAGCTGTGTGCCGTTAGCGAGTTCAGCTTTCTTTTGGAGTACATCCTACCGTGCGATTTCGGTGTTGAAGCTGACGGAAACGCCAAGCGACCCGAGTACCCGAAAAAAAAAGCTGTTCCCAGGACTGGACCGGAACAACACCGGCTGCCCCTACAGCGTATAAGTCAACACTTCACAAAGTTTCGAGTCCAATAGGTGGAGGACGGCGAAGCTAGAGGGCTACCGAGAACCAGTGGAGCAAGAGCCGGCCGCGTGATGTTCAGCGAGGACTGGGGCAGTTTGTGCGTGCAACCTGCAGTCGATGTTGTACTGGTCGGCGTTTCCGAAACGCACCGCAGCAGCATTTCGTTGCCACGCTGCAATCAATCCGTGGCTTTCAAAAAAATAGATTTTCCGCGAGAGGAGGAGCAGAGAAAAGAACTTGGGATCATTCGCAGTGCAAGGGAGGCTACTGCATGGTGCAAGGCCTTTCTACCTGTGGCAGTCAGTATTTTCGTTCTTGTCTCTCCCACGACCAACGTGGGCGACCTGATTCCCAAGCGCAATATTGCAGACCGCATGTCATGGCGTCACCAGCGGTTGGAGCGAGAGCCTATCGTGCACGCTGCAGGCTGCATCTACAAACAACCATTGATGCCTGGCTGCGACCAACGATTATTGGGGGCACGCACCGCGGCGGAAGGGTGTGTTCTTGTCATCCCCTGGTTGAATATCGTAAACAGACACACAAGGCAAAGACGGACGTAGAAATCTTCTGGCTACCGGCGATGCCAGCGGATGCCATGCCGACAGACGCGGGAAGGGGCAGCGCACGTCAACAAAGCCCACAGGCAGCTACAAGTAGCTCAAGTGACAGACCCCCCCTTCATTCGTGCGGGCAACAGCAAGCGGCCAAAACAAAAGCGAAACCACCAAAATCAAAAGGGAGGGGTCATGTTTTGCATGCCTCAGCGGTTAGGCCACTGAATACGCGTCCTCGAGAGGAGGGACGGGGGAAGCTTCAACTCTACCCCCCCCAAAAAAAGCAAGTGGCAGTCCCTACGATCGGTTGGCGTTCCCAACCGACACGGAAGTGGCTGGCGACGTCGCCGGCGAGGCAAGGTTGCCATCTGCTCCGCCATCCCCCTTTACAGGATGGGCGCCGTTAACGGTGGAGGTGGAAGCGGCAGGGGCGGCGTCCACGCCTCCTTGCTGTTGGGCATCTCGTGCCTTTCGCTTCTCGGCCGCTCTTCTAACGAACCTGGAATTCGGGTTAGCATTAGATCGGCTTGTTGAGGGGGCTGGGTGGGCAATTGCATGCGCCTCTGATGATCAATCAGCGAAAGGACCACGGTTGAACGGATAGAACTCCTTCCGCACCAAAAGCTTAGTTCGCGACACTGTTATCTGGGTGTGTTTCTAAAACTCGCATCGACCGCCCCAGCCAACCCACCATTGACAGTAGGCCAGTCTCTTCGCGGGAAAAAAAGCGCGAGCACGCTTGGTAATCCTCTGGTTCTGCCGACAGGGAGGGCGTCGGGGCTGGACGACAGCGCTATGCTTCTGAAGCACAAGGAGGAGAGTCAAAACCATGATCTCGTTCTCCCTATCGCATTCATGTGGGTGTTGCTGTCGTCCTGTTAATGCTTGCCGTGAGTCTTTACAACCCTTCTTGCAAGTCCTCAAACCACGTCTGACCGCATCAGCCAGGGTCACAGAGGAGACCGGCTGCACAGAAACTGTTGTTCTCCACCTCCCCCCTGGCGTGCTTGAGTAAGTTTTCGCGAGCAGGTTTCCGGCACCAGCTATTTCTTCCCTTGACCGCGCAGTCAAAACATTTCCTTTGCGTACTGTGCACACTCACTTCTTGATGAGGCGGTTGCGGTATTGAACCTCCATCTTGCTCGAGTCCAGCACGACATCCCAGGCCTCGTCCCGGGTAACCTCTCGGATGGTCCTGTCCCCCAACAGTTCCGGACAGGCTCGCTTGCCCTGGTTGTATTTGGGGACACAGCAATCAAGTGAAACGTTTAACGTGAACAATGCTAGAGGTTAGAGCTTCAGGGTTCACGTTGGGCTTCCTTCCCGGCATTGTGAATCCAACAAGCAACATCTCAGAAAACACCACCCAACAGCGGATCTCCACCAAAAAGCGGTAGTGGCAACCCTGACCCTTACCCAACCCCTTACCCAAACCCTAGCGTTTTTGGTTGCTCGTATTTGCTTCGTCGACACAATAGCAGGGTCAATTCAGGATGGAGGTCATGTTCAACCGCACGCAAATGTACAACCTGCCCAACAACTGCACTCTCGTTGCCGATTCTAGCATAGAACCCTCAGCCTCCGTGCAAGCCTCTGGTGTAGGCATGTGAGGGGCGCTTGTTCATCGATTACTGATCGTTCTTGTCATTGCCCAATGATTCTCCCTCGACTCACGCCCACGAAACCTGCACACAAGACACACGCTCGACGATGAAGGAATCAGGTAAGCGTTTTCGAAGTCCCGTGCCATCCTAACGACGCTAGACGGCTACGTCACATGCACGCACGCAGCACTCCACAGTCACACAGCAAATGCAACTAATATTTGTCCAGCGGTTTTCGAGCGAAGTTACTACACAGTAACGACAGGCGACTTTCCCGCCCTTTTTCGCTGTGGACCTAGATTAGGTCGACCGCATGGCCCCAACAACAACAACAACAACAACAACAGAGCCATCTCACCAGTCCGATCTCCTGGCACGCCTGCACGAGATCGTAGGCAATCTCGTCCGTGACAACTGAATCCTTCCCGTAACCCGGGTGCGATGTCACGAACTTCCGCAGCCAGGCGGCCGTGGTCATGATTTCGCCGGCGGCCCTCTTCCGCAGGTGGTCCAGGTACCTGATTGAACGATGGACCACGCCCATGACAAAATATATTTATATGATATGAAAAATAGAAAAAAACAGAAAACACTGAGAAAAATGATAAATCAACATAATTAATATTCTTCAATGGAAAAAACGATATGGGCCTGTTACCCACAGGGGAGATGTCGCAACATCCTGCCCGGGTGGCCGTAGAAATGCAGGTTGGTCAACGTAAGCGGTACGTAGATTTACTTCTTATTTCTCGTTGAAGTTTTGCCGGGCTCTTAGAGACAAAACACGTCAGCTGTGTGAGCTACTGAGCTTGGGAAACGTTACAACATGCCTGACCTGCTGCTCCACTACCGTTTCTATTTTATCTTGCAACACCCCTTGATGACACCTTGCTCTCATGTACACAACTAGGAATGAACTCAATCCTAATCTATCCCGGATTTTTACCTGCAGAAGAGATCTGTGTTTCGTGAGACAGAAAAAAAAAACAGCCCGCGCGGGGGAAGGAGAATCAGAATGACCATTAGCTACCCGGCCCCGAATCTCAGCACCCTTCCCAGGAATTTTTCGTTTTGTGGAAACATGTTCCAATCAGGGAACTTGGGTAACCAATCGGGTAATTTGGGTTAAGGTTAGGGTTAGGGACTAGGGCTTCCCACCCGCCCTGTTCTATTTCCTCATAAACTTAGCAAATTGCGCGCAGGCGGTCCTCGAAAACTCTCGAGCCCAGACAACAACAAGCTTTCAAGGGCTTTCCAGGGGCCTTGGGACCAGGATGAGTCCCGTCCTTCTACCCGGGCTGCAGTCAACGCCTTCGAACAGAGACAGGACCGCTGTACAGTCGTGGAAGCATGAATAAATGAACGCAGGTCCCGATGTCTGTAGCATGAAATAAATTAACCGACCGCTGGCTTAGGTCTTTGGCCCTGTAGCCCGATTCGTTGCTGTTTCACAAGACCAGGGCCGTGTTGCAGCATTGGTTCGGTTCCATAGGACGACTTCACAGCGTCGCCACGGACCGTTTCTGGGGGAATAGCGCCTATATTTTCGTGAATATTCTCAACCTCCACTCCCGTCTTACACATTCAATAGAGAAAAAACAAACACAACGGGCGTTGACTGGTTGACCAATTAGGACGAAAGAAATACCAATGCAAGGACAGACAGCGACAAAAACCACAATCACAAAACAAATCAGACGAAACTTACGCGTCAACGTTTTTGATCGTGGAGCTGTCGGCGTTGATATACTCCAGGTAGGCGTGCACGAGAGGGATCAACCCCGGGTAATCACCCTGGGACAGAATAATAGCACGTTAGCACATTGGAGGGCACAATAATCAGACACGATCCTGGCAAATGTTAGCACGTTGGAGGGCACACGAATCGGACATGATATTAGTAAGTTAGCACGTTCAAGGAACACACGAATCCGAAAGGTACAAGGCGACGTAGAGGTCGAGACAGGGGCGTTGAAACATACGAAGGGCGAGAGAAACAGACGGGCAAGACAGACCGACAGAGACAAAAGAAAGCGAGGTAAAACGCACCAGAGAGGGCGGCCAAAAAGTAGACAAGCTATCATGGTGAAACGCCTTCCCACGAACCAAGTAGCCAATCCTCCCGACACCCAAAAACAGATAACCGCAAAAACTTACGTGCCCATCCACGGGTAATGTTCAAATTGACTGCGGCTACCCTTGCATGGGAACCAAAATTTCTTCGAATCCGCCCTAACGGTCGTCGGATGTGCTTCGAGAAAACTGCCGCACGGGGAGGTATGGGGGTGACGCTTTCCGCCCCACTCGGAAAGGGATAGAGGAGTCGAAAACTACTCGCTTAAAGGCCCGTGGGCAGAGCAAGCTCCCAAAACGTTCATCGGCAACTCGGGAGCGATCAAGAAGCACAGAACAAAACACCCTACAAAGACCACTCCCGTAACAACAACACCAACGCCAGGACCAACAAACACAAATAACCCCCACGAACGCTGTGTGACCACGGGTTGGAGTAAGCCGCACAATGCTGTGAGCGCTGACGTGTTAAAAGACAACAACAACAAAAAAATGGCTGCCCACCTTCCCCTCCAGGATCTGGAGCACGGTCATCTCTTCGAGCCCGCTCTGCGGGTCGTTGTCGCACGGGCTGTAGATCTCCCCCGCCTCCCCGCCCTCCGGGGACTGCGCGTAGTCGATGTTGCTGCGGAAGAAGAACTTGCCCTTCGTCGCTGCATCTCTCTCGTGCGCACGCCTCATATTCTCGTCCACCTTGGGGGGGGGGGGGNGGGGGGGGGGGGGGGGGGGGGGGGGGGGGGGGGGGGGGGGGGGTTGCCAAGCAAGACAAAAAACAAGCCGTCGACGCACCAATGAGCAGACGTCAGCAGTATCATAACGGGAGATACATAAGGTTCTCGGAAGCGGCGTGCGTACTGATCTTTTTGCATGCCATGGCGGTTAGACCCTCAACCGCCAAGGGGATGTGGGGACTCTCCTACCAAGATGGAGGAGTCGTCGACGAACTTACGAACAGACGTCACCAGTACCATCACGGGGAAAATAAGGTTCTCGGAAGCGGCATGTTCATGTTTACGCGTTGAAGTTGATGGACCACCAACCAATGAGGGGGGTCAGCATGCAACCTAACGTCGTCGACGGACCAAAAAATAGACGTAATTGTCATGACGGGAACATGTCAAGGTTATCGGAGGGGTAGGGGGTATAATCGAAGAACGAGCGACATCCCGAATGCCAAAGTACTCGTGAGTGTAAACATGTACCAGGTGCGTTCGAGAGTTGACTGAAAAACGTATTTTCCCCGTGTTTGAGCGTTTATTCTACGAAGAATCGGCAGCCAAACCGGCCGGCCGATGAAGAGACGGCAGTCTTGGGCGCTCGTGAGCGCGCGATCGGGCGCGCAAATCGGCCAACTACTCACGAGAAAAACGTGTCGAAAGCGTGACGCTGCCGAATCTGTGGAGGGGTTGTACCGTACGTTGTACCATGAAACATTGAATTTTCCATGGTCACGACAAGCCACATTACCTCGCTCCTAACCCTCAAATCCCCGCTTTCTCTCACGGACGTCTCTCGTGAACCGTAGCTGCTGTTGCTTTTGTTCCACAGTCACAAAAATATAACGCAAAAATAAAAAAAAACGCAGGTAGTGTGCTGGCCAACGCTACAGATCCATTGCCACCTTACCCCAGACTCTCATGTGTGGATGGAGATAAGTTCGATGTGCTGTGTAGTACAATCACAAAGATAAAAAAAGCAGCCCATGGGCACCTTGGAGAGAGGAATGTAGAGGTTTAGGTCCAGAGCAAGAATAACCCTCGTGACAAGGACGATGAACACGGTGTACGCGGCGTTCTCGAAGTCCGTCTGGTGCAAGAGCGACAACACCGGGGAGACGGGCAAGAGAGAACAAGGATTAGGGATAGCATTAGGGATAGGGTTAGGGTTAGGCAGTACCTCGTGAAACTACAGAGAAGCGAGCGCGAGGTCAGGTGTCAAAACAAAACACAGGAAGAAACATTTCGCCGACAACGGCACCGGAAGAAGGTTGGCGACGAACACGCTCTTGTGACATTCTCAACGTCCTCGGTGCACACGGGTCATCGCACGTAAGCCCCGTGGATTTGGTGAGGTCTCCTCTTCTAACGGCGGCCTGTGGTCCCGCCCAAAACCTTCGTCGGGTGTTGCAGCAGGTGCAATACTTTTTGACCATCGGCCCCAGTCCGCTTTGAGAGTCGCCCCAAAACAAGACCACTTTGAGTACTCCGGAACGTTCCGCGGAACTGTCCCAGATCCTCAGTAACATCCACCATCAAGTCATACGGGCTTCGCAAGACACGACACACACCCAGGCGGCTCCGGCCATGGACAACAACACCGGCTATTCCCCGTATATCCTTCCACCGTCCTGAGGACAGGGTCAACGTCTCACCAGCTGAATCTCTAGGCTCCGGAACTCTGTTCTCCAGCCGACGTGGGGGTCGTTCGGGCTAAGTCTGGGAGGGGGCGGCTTCCACCTCACCGTCTGCCAGTTCGTCGACTGAAGGTTCTCGAAATGGTCCACCTGTCGGTGGGGGGGGGGGGGGGGG